CAATTTTGGCTGTTAAAAATAAAGTCACTATAAGCAGTTGTGAAAAAATTTTTGTGGGGACATATACATTCTTTTCAGTGAATACCTGGGTGGAGAATGGCTGGGTCATCTGACAGGTGTATTTTTATTTTTAAGAAGCTGCCAAACTTTTTCCTAGAGTGGTTGCACCAGTGTATATTCTCACCAAGAGCATATGACAGTTGCAGGTGCTCCACTTTCTTGCCAACACTTGGTGTGGTCCATCTTTTAAATTTTAACTATTCTAATAGATGTGTGGTGATATCTCATGGTTTTATTTGCATTTCCCTGAAGATTAGTAATGTTGACCATCTTCTCATTTGCTTATTTGACATGTGCAAATCTCCTTTGGTGAAGTGTCTGTTCAGAACTTTTACACATTAAAGAAAAAATTTGGATTGTCTTATGATTGGATTGTAAGAGTTCTTTATATATTCTACAGATAAATTTTTTGATTGATGATTTTGCAAACATATTTTCCAATTCTGTGGCTTGCATGTGGTGGGAGACAGTAACACATAAGTTTAATCACTGCAGTTTAGTTGAACGAGTGCTGTGCACGGGAAGTACAAAGGAAGATCAGTAATCTTAGGATGGGAGTCAGGGAAGCTTCTTGGAGGTGATGGTATGTGAATTGGGTTTTAAAAAAAATTGTAAGTTAGCTAGGCAGGGGAAGGGCAGTCTAGGTAGAAATTTCTTTGTGCGAAGGCACAGAGATATAGAATATCTTGGTGCATGCCAAATTGTAAGTCATTTGATTGGAGCTTGGGATTTTGGAGAAGGATGTGGGCTGGGATCCCAGATGGCCTGCTTACTGGCTGTGCACCTCTTTTATTTATTTGTAACTTTTTATTTGAAAAAATTATAGATTCTTGGGGAGTTGCAAATATAGTGGAGAGGTCTGGAGTATCCTTCATTTAGTTTCTTCCAGTGGTTTCATCTTACACAGTTACAGTACAATATCAAAACCAGGACTCTGAGGTTGCTACGCTGTGTGTCAATTTCTATGTCATTTTCTCACATGTTTAGATTAGTGGAGCCACCATTGCAACAAAGATACGGAATATTCCATCCCCATGAAGGTCTCCCTCATCCTCCCATTCATTGTCACACAGCCCAGCCCTTTCCCCTTTTCCTCATCCCTATAATTTTGTCATTTTGAGAATGTTCTGTAAATAGAGCCATACAACATGCAACCTTCTGAGGCAGGGCTGTTTTCACTCATAATGCAGTTGAGTTGTTTTCACTCATCATAATGCACTTCAGGTCTAGCCAAGTTGTTGAGAATATCAATATTTGCTCTTTTTTTTTTTTAATTGCTGACGGATATGCCATGGTATGGCTGGACCACAGTTTCACTGCTGACCTATTGAAGGACATTTTGGTTGTTTCCAGTTTTTGACTGTTACAAATAAAGCTGCTATGAACAATCGTGTACAGGTTTTTGTGGGAACATAAAATTTTGTTTTTCCGGGCTAAATGCTCAGGAGTGCAATTGCTGAGTTATATGGCAAGTGTATTTTTAACTTTTTCAGAAACCGCCAGACTACTTTTTAGGGTGGCTGTACTGTTTCATGTTCCCACCAGCAATGTAGGAGAGATCTCCTTTCTCCTCCTCGCCAGGTTCGGGGTGCCGTAGTTTAATTTTAGCTGTTCTAATAGGTGGTCTTAATTTGCATTTCTCTAGTGGCTATTTGTGTGACTCTTACCCTATCTGCTCTCAGGATGGCTGTATGAATCCAGACTCAGCCTGGACTTTGTAAGTGTGAGAAGCAGAAGGACCTCGTGCTGACAGCCCCCTCCCACTGTTTCTGGAGCTGCCTTGGAAGTCTGACTTCCCGTGTATTGGGGGATCCAGTTAGCCAGTTACATGATCTGTCTTCATTGTCCTGGGTCCAAAAAGTGGTATGTTATAGAGCCAAGTATTTTTCCAGGGGAGGTTTTTTTTTTTGTTTGCTTGTTTCCCATAGATGAGCAAATAACTTTTAAGTGTTGATGTTTTATGGGGTTGTTGGGTGAGTTCTCCACCCTGTCCTTCCCCGGTGCCAGTGTGCCAGCATCGGTACTTACTGGGAGCTGAGACAGAGACACCTCGGGAGCTGACCCAGGATGCCTGTCCTCAGTGTCTGGAGGTCTGAGGTGCCGCCATGGCCTCAAGCCCTCCCTACACTCAGGATCCTCTCTTCTTTTCACGTATAGTTGGAGAGGCAGCTTTGACATGCTGGGGAAAATAATAATGGTAGCTAAGAATTATATAGTACTTTTTTTGTACCAGGTACTAAATGCTTTCTGTCTATTTATTCATTGAATCCCCACAACAATCCTCAGAGTTAAGTATTATGAATCTCTCCATCTTATGAAAGAGGAAACTGAAACAGTGAGATCTCATAGCTAGCATGTGGCTGCGTAAGTTGGGATTTGAACCCAGATGATCTGACATCCAAGACCGTCCCCTTGGTCATTAAACTATACTGTTTCAGTGCTGGGTGGGCAGAACCTGGCGTGCTACTCACCTTGCTATGTGAACTTGAAGGGCCTCAGACTCTCCCCTGAGGAGCCTGAGGGAGGAGAGGGAGGAGGGCTTGCCACGGGCGTTCTCTGGGGCATCAGCACTTTGTGATGCTGAGATGGGAGACTGAGTAGGTGGGAAGAGATTTCTAGGGGAAACAGGGAGGTTAGTTCCTTGGAGGCCGGCACTGGCATGGGCTGTCCAGGTGTAAGTGGGGCTCCGGCTCTGAAGGCGAAGTCCTGTTTTCTGAGCCTGCTGTGTACTAGGGACTGGCTCACCCACAGAATGGGAAGAGGCTGGAGGAGGACGATATGGAGACTCTGAACTTGGGGGACAGCACGTGACTGCAGTGGCTCCCAGACTCTCAACCCCCTGCCTGTGCAGTAGTAACCTTGACCTTGCGCTGTAGGGAGTCCCACCCTACCCCACCCATCAGGGATGACTGGGAAAGAGTGTGGGCTTCCTGGCCTGACAGAGCTGGGTTCCAGGTACAGAGCCTCAGTTTCCTCACCTGTAAATCAGACAGTAACAACACCTAGTGTATAGTTGAGGGGTGGTGTAGTGAGGTCCTCCTGTCTCCAGGGGCCCTCTACAATCACGAACACCAACTACTGAAAGAAAACAAGGTATGTGTATATCATGCCCCAATTCAATCAAAGGAGAGTGTCCATCCACTCATTCAATCAGCTTTTAAAATGAGCACCTACTGTGTGCTTGCTGCTGTGCTAGGCACTGTGAGCACCAGAGCCACAGTCCTTGACCTCTTGCAGCACATGGTCTACAGCAAGAGACAAATATGAATTAGATAGTAACATAACCCAGTGTAAAATCCTGAACTGTGGGATTGCTGTGAAGGAAGTACTGTGCTGTTGTGTGAGTGAGCCACATTCAGCCTGAAAGGATGCTTCCTCCGGGAAGTAATTCTGGCTTAGAGTCTCATTCGTTAGCCTTGATCTACTGAAGAGGACTACATGGAATGGTCTGTAGGATCTTTCTTCTAGGACACTTTCTGCTGTGTCCTTACTATAGACTGACCTGATGCCTGGCAACCCCAGTGCTCTTCCCCTACCCCAGCAACCCAGCCTGTTCTGTGGGGTTACGCGTACCCAACCACTCAGCTGCTGCTGATCCCACGGGGACTGAAACTAAGGTCAGAACCACACCTCACAGGGCCAGGCCATCTTTTCTTGTTGTTATTTTGTTTCTGAATGTGTTCATGACTCAGTCAACTTATTACTCAGCCGAACACGGAACCACCATGGGGGTGGCATTCATCTCAAAGATTAAAAAAAAAAAATCTTCATGGAGTTACAATTTATATTCCATGAAATTAACTTCTTTTAGGTATAAATTCAGTGATTTTTAGTACATTTACTGAGTTGTACAACCATCACCAAAATCCAGTTTTAGAACACTTACATCATGTGTTGGGTCATCTTCTAATGGAAAAGGCGAGAAATTATTTTTCCTGGAAATAGTTCCGTAATTATTTTTTGTGGGATTAGCTCTGTGCTCTCAGCAGGAGGATTTCATTAATTAATTCAATTAGTATTTACTGAGAGCCTGCTGGAGCCCACGGCTGGGCTAGGTGCAAAAGGGAATAAAGAGCTGTAAACAAGTGGAGAAGGTAGCTTCCCTGTGGCTGACAAGCCTCTTCCTGAAGACGCACTGTTAATGTAACGCATCTGCATCTGCATGTGTGGGTCTCCTCGCCCCTGCAGGGCAGGTGATTGTTTTCGACCCTGTGGCTCCTAATTGACGAGGCAGGGGCCTTGCTTTTGCAATACCTGATGTTGCACTGAAATTATTGGCCAGGCAGAGGGAGGGACGCGTACTCTCCACCATCTGCAATCAGCTCTAGGCTTTGACAAGCCTGGATGCAGGATCTGGGAAGAGAGGAGATTGGTGTGCTGTTTGCAGTGCAAAGATTCCATAGGCGGAATTGGGGTAAGGGGGCACTGAAGGGGGCAGAGTTAGGGAGTAGAGGTTCATCAGGTAGCATACAGCTTCGGGGTGCATCTGTGAATGGCAGGGTGTTGCTCGGAGGCTTGGGGGGTGACATGGGCATGTAGGCTTGGAGGCTAGACTGAGGCGCTTGGTGGGGCAAACGTGGGAGATGCTATTTTAAGTCTCCGAGGAGGGGCGTGACTATGCAGAGTGGACTTGGGCGAGAAATCTCGCGTGAGCTGAGAGATGGGCCGTGGGCACAGGTTAGGAGGGCTTGATGTGGGCAGGGGCAGTGGGGCAAGGAAAGAAGTGGATCGGAAAGAAGTGGATCGGAGAGAATATTCTGCCAGACAGGGGAGAAAATCTCTGTCCCAGCGTCTTCTCCCGGGGTCTGTACCCGCCTTGCCCGTCTACCTATTGTCCTTCAACCAAGCCCTCAAACTGCCTGTCTGCAAAGCCAGACTCCACAGCCCCCTGCACCACGGCGTGCTTCCCCCTTGCCTGGCATGAGTTTCTCTCCCCGCCCCTCTCCTCTTGCCCAGGAGGGAGGAGAGACGCAAGAAAGAAGTGGAACACTGTCCTCGTGGAAGGCACTGCCAGAGAAGGTAGTGGTGAGAGATTTCCAGCGAGGGAGATGCCAAATGCAGAGGAGGTGAGTGAGTATGGGCACTGAAGAAGGGCTGGTACCTGCGTGAGGCAGGTGAGGTGCCTCGGGGGCAAAATTTAAGGAGGCACCAGGTGCCAACCCTGTGCTTGCAGAACCCTGAGAGCAAGGGTCCTAGACTAGGTTCCCGGGGAGAACTGGTAATTGGGAGGACGCTGGGGACTTTGGAGAAAGCATTAACTTTCAAAAGGTTAAGGACCGAGTGTGGAAGTGTTTTTTCAGAAGAAAGCCTTCTTAAGGAAGCTTCCTGAAGCTGCGTGGGGGCCCGCCCGGCTGTTTCCTCCCCATCCCAAGATAGCCTCTCACGATCTCCACGGACTCTCAAGGGTTTCTGGAGCACAGTGTGGAGACCACTGATTAGATCTAAGCCCCCACCTTAGCAGAGAATTCTGAGACCCGGGAAAGTACGTGACTTGTCCAAGGCCACGTGGGGCGGAGAGGGCGGCTCGTGACCTTAGGGGTCTTCCTTTCCTTTAATTTATCACCTTCAGTTGTTTTACATTCTCTTCTCATTGTTCCTCTCAATCTCCCCCTGCTTCTGCAACAATAATTGGCAACAGCTGGTACTCAAGTTCTCATCTACAGTAGACGACCGAGGTCTAATTCTGAGAAGTCCGTTGATTGAGTGCCTGCTACCTACTGAGCGTTCTTTTTAGGGGTTTTCCATGCATTATTTTATTCTTACAACAACCTGTCAAAGTACTGGTCATAATTCCATTCTCCTGACGAGAAGGCTGAGGCTCTGAGAGAACGGGTGGCTGGCTTCATTTGCATAGTTACTAACAGGGTGAAGCCCGTGCTCTCCCTCTGCCACCTGTGTCTTCAGTCATTCATACACTGGGTGCCTTGATGCCGGGCACTGGTTTTGTACTGGATACAATACAGTACAAGCAAAGGAGACAAAGGTCCTGCTGAGACCTGCTTGTCCGCTTGTCATCCTCCTTGTGCAGGGGTGGGCTTGCTCTTCCTAAGGCGTCCCTCCTGTCGCAGGTGTGTCTGGGCTGCCTGTGGCAGCTGCCGTGTTTGGGGGCTGTTGCTGAGATGCAGTCCAGAACTGAGTTCACTCCTCAGCCAGCAAGTCTCATGGACTCCTTTCTCTGTGCATCTGCATCCCTGAAACATTCCACTGAAACCACTCATAGGCAGTTTATTCTGCAAGGAACAGTTTCCCCTACATTTCTTAGCTTTTGTGTGTCAACCGTTTCCTTTGGCTACCACCCCTGAGCAGAACTCTGGCTCAGCCACGTAATTTAGCCCTGATAAAGTCAAGTTATTTTGGCCTCCTCTGCCCTTAGTCCCAGGGAGAATTTGGACTCGGTGTTTTTACTTGTCACTTTAGAATGTTTGCCAGAGTTTGTGGAAAAAGGCGTGTATTATTAATGCCCTTGCTGGGAACGGCTGTGCCCTGCCAGGTTGTCATGTGAGCCCTGGGCTGCAGGGCCCTGAGCTCTCCTGGGCCAAGGGGCTCCAGTGGGAAATGTAATCCTATCCTATGGAAACTGCAAACAGCCAACAACGGCAGAGAGAGACTTGGACAGGACGTATCAGAGTCTCACTCCGAAATTCACAACCTCCCAGTGAGTGTCTCATGGGGCTGATTCTAACCCGGTGCTTCAGTGGGACCTGATGTTTTTGAAAGTCTCTTAGCCTGATGGCCTCCTCCCCTGTAAGACAAAAATGAGCATATTAAAGTCAGTTTAGTAATATCTAGAGATCCATCTTGCAGTGAACACTATGCTGGCCACTTGAAATAAGTGATGTAGTTTGATTCTTAAGGACAAGTCTTTGAGGCAGGGCTTGTAATCTCCCTGTTGTGGATGAGAAAACAGCCTCTGAGAGGTCAAATGAATGACACAAGGTCATGCAGGTAGTAAAGAGTAGAGGTGGGATTCGAACCCAGGTCTATGTGGCCAAAAGCTCATGTTCCTTTCAGGACACTGAGCTCCCAGACACAGAATATTTCCCCACTCTCCTCTGGTTTATCCCTGCAGTTGGTCCTAGCTCCTCTGTCTCTCATCTTTTTCTCTTCCCATCGCTCTGGAAACATCTTCTGGAACTTGGTATTCCAGTGGGGACTTGACTGGAGTTCAGTGTCAGTTGGGTCGGGGGTTTGTGGGGTAGATAGTGGGGCTGGAGGCCAGTGCAGGGCTGAGGAGAAATGGTCCCTGGTGCCTTCTTCTCCGTCAACTGAAGTGGCTTCTCTCCACCACTTCATGCCCCATCAAAGCTCCTTTTTAGTGTCTGGAGCTCAACTATGAGTTTAGAGAAAATAATCTAACAACATCACTTGCTTGCTTAGGAACCCTCCATCAATCCTAGTTTCTTTCAGGATAAACTGGGGCAAGATACACTTACGTCTGGAGCAGATAATTCTGTTGAATCTCATTTCCCATCACTGCAGCTCTCATGCTCTCACCCTTCACAGCCTCTCACCATTCCTTGAGCACACAGTCCCGCTTTCATGACTGAGCCTTTGCATTGCCATTTTTTCTGTTGGGGATACTTTTCTCTGCCTGGTAAACTCCTATTCATCCTTCAAAACCCAGGATGAACATGATTGTTTCTGACTTCCCCTAGCAGAGTTAGCACCACCCCAGCCTTTGGTTCTTAATACCTTACATGACCTTTCCACCTATCAATTTATGTGTCTTCTCTTTTCACTAAAGCCTCAGTAATAGGGACTGAACCCTATTTATTTCTATATCACCTGTACTTGGGGCATATTTGTGTGAACAAATGAATGGGGGCTCACTAATAAAAAAACTATTACTTAAGTATGAGTCACAAATGGCCCCACTTTAACTGAAATGCAAGTCACAGGATTCAGAGAAAGAGACGTGATAGGCTTAGGCCGTGGGGTTGTTGATTGCTGACAGGTGAGCCGGGCAGTGTGGCGAGAGCATTACTGCAAATGAGCCCCACTGCCGAGAGAGAGGGGGTCCCAGAGGAGTGAAGTGATAAGGCCTTGTGGCTGGGGAGTGAAGCACTGCTTGCCCGGCTCCCCAGGCCAGCTGCTCAGACTCTCTCAGCAGCCTGCTTCCCAGGGGAGGAGCTCCTTAGGGCGGGGCTGGGTGCAGACCTAGAGAAAGAGTGGCCGTTCTGGACGGTCCCAAAAGGAAGGGGAGGGGGTAGCATGCAGGGAAGGAGTAGAAGCAGAGGCAGGAGGAAGTCCAAGGCAACCTTTCTTTGCATAATGTGGTGCTGGGGGCGTCTTGCTGGCCGGGGCGCCTGCCCAGTGGTGGCTCCTGAAGATGCAACGTGAGCTGCGTCCAAGTGTGAGTTTGGAGCCAGGACCTGGGTAGGTAGGTCATTCTGTGCCACTGGGCCTCCTGCCCATTTAATTCCTCCTTCTGTTGCTGCTGGGTACAGGCACTTAGACTTTAGAGATGGTCACATCTAAGTTTAAATCCTTGTCTCAGGCACTTCAGCTGCGAACTGTGTGGCACTGAGCAAGAATGACAGGGTTGCCATTTTTACGGAGTCGTTAGGATCAGCGATGATGACACTGTTGATGGGCCTTGGGCCAAGCGGCTTATGGCATTTCATTTACTCCTCTGAATACCCTATAGGTAGATGCTCTTGTCGTTCTGAAGTCACAGGTAATGGAACTGAGGTTCAGTTTTACAGGTAGTGGACCCAGCTTTGCCACACCTAGTCCACTAGGCCACCAGCCTCCAGTTCGCCTAATCTCAATCACCTGGAGCTCTTGTTAAGCATCTGATTCAGCCCAGGTGGTGCAGGGTCTGGGGAGCAGTGGCTAAAACAGGGACCCAGAATGATATTAAGATCTGGCAAGTTCAGGAAACACTATATTGTGCTTTCCTGCCTGTAAGGTGTGACTCACGGCTGGCCCTCAGTAAACATTAGCTGTGAGTGTGATGACATGAGTTGATTAAAAGGATACCTTATCGTGCAAAACTTTCCATCTTTTAAGAATTCAGTAGTCTTGGGGGAAGGTATAGTTTTCAGTGTTCCCTGGGTTCAATTCCCAGCACCTCCGTAAAAAAAATAAAGGATTCATTAATCCTAGAACTAGGTCTTAAAGGTAGACGTCAAAGGAAGTAGACTCTGGATCAGTGAGTCTACGTTCTAAAGCTGTAAACTCAGAACTCTCTGCAGATGGAGTGAACTGCCTTCAAAGATCCCTGTTTCTCGTGTTCAGAGCAGTCGGCGACACCACGTATCGGGTGTGCTTCAAGGGGTCTGCCCTCCTCACGCACGCACCGAGGAGGACTCGGGCTTGTGAAGGTTCCTGTGGAGGTGGCATTGGGCAGCTATGCAAAGTCAGAAAGGATCCCAACTCTGGGAGGGAAAGCAGGAAGGAGGGGTGGCAGAGGCTAAAGTGAATAGGTATTTTGGGGCCATCGCTCTCAGCGTCGTATCCTGGGCAGCCTGGGCTGGTCTGCTTGGTCGCTTCCGAGCCTCTAGACTCCCAGTGCTGCGACCAGGGCACTGAGCGCTTCGCGTTTCTCAGGGGCTGAAATGTGGGGGGGCAGATGTCTTTCTGTCTCATACCAGTATCCCTAGGTCATCTTGTCCTTGTAAGTTCTCAAGGCCCATCCTGGGAGCACATATGTGACAAAATGTAGGGGAATCTTGTCCCATCAGAGCCCAAAGGAAAGGCCTGGTCCATTGACCTTCTGTTTCCAATCTCAACCTTGATGATAAAACTCAGCATCAGCTTTCTTGGAGACTAAGAGCAGTCGATATGACCCTGCTGAAAGCTGAAGGAATCCTACTGAATGATTGCCTTGGATGCTTCTGTTTCTAAAAAACATGATAATAGCTGTCATCTTGAATACTGATCGTGAGCTGGGTGCTTCCTTTCCCCATTTAATTCTCCCCAGAACCTGTTAATATAGGGAAGAACACTATCCCTGTTGTACAGATGGATAAACCGAGGCCGCCAAAATTCAGCCAAGTTGCCCTAGGTGACAGAGCTAGCAAGCAATGTAGTTGGACTTCAAACCTAGCTCTACGTGACTCAC